TTCCCACTATCAAAAGAGCCACTTTCTATCCATCTATTGCAGTACGATAAATATTCACATGCCTTCTACAAAATAATTCTCTTTTCTCCTGCCTCAACACTTGTTTTATTATGGGATAGTTGTGGAGCATCAGGAGGCATATTTTCATTATCTGTCATCATATTCATTTCTATGCTAATGAGAAACCTGTCCCAGATGAAAATCTGTTTTGGGGCCCTCAAATAAAAGAAAATGGCAATCACGTATTGTTGGTTTTTGACGTTTGTTTTTAAATGAAAGAAGACATCACCAACACTCTAATGCACAAGCCGATTCCATAAATCATATTGTAACAAATGCAAATACTAACCTGTTTCATCTGCAGCGCCCAAAACAGTCACAGCCCCCTACCCTGGTGTTACATTCACTAAACAATATGAGGTTGAGCTGGGGTGTGAAGAAAACACTGAAACACCACCTTATGGCATCATCAGTTGAACTGATTGATGCGTAAGACCCCACGTCATGACTGGATGCAAACTTCCTGCAGTTAAAGAAAGACAAGACTGAAGTTGTCTTTGGAATAAGGGCAGGATGGAAGTTATTGCTCAACTTGCCTCCAGAGGAATAAAGACAAAGACCCCGGGTAGAAACCTTGGTGTCATAATTGATTCAGACCTGAGCTTCACTGGTCACATTAAGCGTTTTATCATCCTCATTAAATAGCAAGACTTAGGTGTCTCATATACAGACCAGACTAGTTCTCTGTGTAGAATTAAACAGAGGACGAGTCTGGCCAGCCAGGCTACTTTTAAACATCTCTAAATTGAATCCTAGCATTCCTTAAGTTTGAGAATTTTTTTTAATTGGAAGGTTAAAACTCTTTTGTATGTTCATTCCGTGTTTAATTTTGTTATTAATTTTCTTTTTCATTTTTAAACAGTTTAGTAAAAAGTTGTTTTTTTTTACCTGATATGTTTCAGCTAGTATCTCTATCCATCATCAGAGATCACCGGGACACCGTCCTCCACTGCCCGTGAAAAAAAGGCTAGGTCGAAGGGACCAGTGTTCGGCAATCTCGCTTCTGTAAGTGCGCCCCAGGGCAGCTGTGGCTACATCATAGCTCATCCCCATCAGCGCGTGAATGTGTGTGTGAATGGGTGAATGACTGATTGTGTTGTGAAGTGCCTTGGGGGGTTGTAGAACCCTAAAAAGGTGCTACATAAATACAGGCCATCTACAATTTATTATTTATAAAAATAATATTGTTCCAATGTAGGATTACATGTGTTCAAATGACGTTGTTTATTTAGTATGATGAGTACTGCCGTTATGAGATATCTTGGTGTTAGAGTAGCACCTGAAGCCAGTGACCCAGCCAGAGATAAAAACTGGGGATCCAGACTGTTTTGAATCATTTCAGTGTGAAGTGAAATGATCACATATCAAAATAATGTTATAAATCCAGTGAGTTGAATTCTGGCAAAGTCGGCAAATTGTTTACATTGGTGAGTATAGCAGCTGGGAAAAAGTAAGCTAACATTCATAAACTTTAGTAAACACCCCTCTCCATGAACCCCACCCAGGTGTGCTCCGATAACTGGACTGGGCTAGTTGAAGCAATGCACTTCGTATAAAACAACCACAACAAAAAATAAACAATCTCTGGGGCTAAGGAATTTTGAGTTCCAAAACATCACTTCTTATTCTTAAATGTCTACACTGTAATCCTTAGAGACAGGCTCAGTGGTTTGTTGCCAAGTGAAAAGATGCACTTAAAAACCATTGGATGCAGGATTTCTCTTGTAATTTCTCTGCTCCAACACACGATTCAGTGGTTGAATCACCTGTGCAGCAGCTCATCAGGCTCTGCAGAAGCCTGTTAATCACCTGCTGATTTAAATCAGGTGTGTTGAAGCAGAGTTAAAACTAAAACCTGCTGGATACTGGTCCTCCAACACCAGGATTTGACACCCCATGTCTTAGACTGCACACCTCTTGTTCATTTGTTTCTTGTGGTGATAGTGGGAGGCTCTCAGACCTCTAGAGGATTGACATCCAGGTGGAGGGAGCTGCCCACTCCAATCTCTGCTCAAAGCAAATGTGTTTATGTTTTTCCATGTTAATACAAAATACTTTTTGGGGAGTGGTGAATGATTGTGGGGAAGAAAAGGGCCCATGTATTTCCTGCAGGAGAGTGGAGTAAGTTAAAGCTTAAACCATCTGATCCAGGGACAGCAAGTAGACAGACAAATAGCTGATGGCGACTACGTTGTCAAAGTTGACCTAAATTCCATTTAACTGGTAGTTTATCAAATCAAATCAAATCAACTTTATTTATATAGCACTTTTCATACAAAAAAATGCAACTCAAAGTGCTTCACAGATTTAAATGACCCCATAGATCCCATATTCCCATCCCAGCCCCCCTCCCCAAGTATAAAACAACTGACAATTACTCAATATGGGTCAATATTGAGGCTCAAAATATTGCAATTTCTCCAAACCTATATATATATATATTCATCAAATATAAAGAAATTGTTGAAAGTAACCAAAAACCCATTTTTAAAAAATACAATTAAAATATGGCATGAGGTAGGTAACTGCCTTGATGGGACTAGACGGCTATTTCCTCTTACGCCAATTTTTGGCAATGAAGAATTTCCTCCAGGGAGAATCAACCCAGGATTTAAAACTTGGTCTCTAAAAGGACTAGCAACAATCTCTGACTTATATAAAGGAAAGAAAATGAGAACTTTCCAAGACCTGGTGACTAACTTTAGTATTCCCCCAAAACACTTTTTTAAATATCTTCAAGTTAGAAACTTCATTAAATCAAGTCAAAATGGCAACCTTGCCCCACCTGCACCATCAACTTTAGATGAGATTGTGGCTAAAATAAGTCAGGTAAGGGACAGATTTCCATTATATACAATGAGATAATTAAAAGTAATAAGGATTCATCAATGAGCATCTTCGGAGCCTGAAACTCCGATATGGGTGGAACCATATCAGAGGAAGAGTGGACAAAAACTTGTTCTTTAATTAAGACCCAGACTGTTAATACAAACTCCAAATTACTTCAGTACAAATGGATGACCAGACAATATATCACTCCAACTAAGTTACATAAGTTCAACCCTGATGTACCTGACACATGTATTAAATGTGACTCTCAAAGGGGATCCTTATTTCATTGTATGTGGGAATGCCAACCAATATTACATTTTTGGAAGGAGACTTTTAATTATTGGTAAAATAATTAATGAAGTAATACCTGTAGACCCTAAGTTGTGTGTTTTAAACATATATCCTAACAACTTTATCCTTTCTAATTCTAAAAAACATCTTATGGATATTTGCCTATTGGAGGTTAAAAGATGTATTGCACGCTGCTGGAAAAAACCTAACATTTGTGCAACCTCAGACTGGTTGGAAGCTATGACATCCTTTGTGGCTTTAGAACGAATAAGCTATTTTACAAAACATATGTTAGATACATTTGATGAGATCTGGAAGTTATTCTTTGCTTTTTTGGAAACGGGTAATACAATGTGAAACGACAAAGTCATTTGATATTGTTAATGTATGCAGGGGGTGTATGTCTTTTTTTCTTCTTTTTTTCCACTTTATTTCACCCCTTCTTTATTTTTGTTCTACTTCAAACATACCATGAATTTGGGTTTGCTAACAGAAGGGAAATGAACATTGGTATTGGGCACAATGTTTTCATGTTTGTGTTTATTTGTACATTTATGCCACATAATTGTCTCTTGTCTTTTTTTATGTTTTGAGTGGAGATATTTTCATTATATGTGTTGGTACCCAAATGAAGAAAATCAATAAAAAAATTGTTGAAAAAAACTGACAATTACTCTTCCCCTCCCGCAACCAATTTCCAAGGTGAACGTACACTCACCCCCCCCCCCCCCCCACACACACACACACACACACACACTCACCCACACACACACACACACGTGAACAACAGAGTAAATGGACGACACATCATCAGCCATTATTACCCTCTAGCTGCCCCCGCCCCTTCATATATACCCCCCTCGCACCACACAGAAGGAGCAGACTCCGCTGCTCTGTGTGCAGCTCAGAGTTTTTTCTGCTATAAACATTAAAACATCGCATGTTAGTCAGCACATTTCCTTATCCCACCTCACAGGTGTGGCATATCACGAGGCTGATTAGACACCATGAATAATGTACAGGTGTGACTGCCCACATCATTTCCAAATAAAATGAACTCCATCCAGAACGACTCATTAAATGTAAAATTTAAATGAAATCCCGTTATGGTTTATCATATTTAAGTTTTTATTTATTCCTGACAGGAACCTCTCCTCTGTCCCGATCGTGTTTATAACCTTTGCAACTTGTTTGATCTTGCAACAAAGTTTTCTTTCTTTTTTCCGGGTAGAACACAGGGAAATTCTTCATGTGCTGAGGAGTAGAGTGACCAAATATGGTGAATTGAAGGTGTTCCCGTATGTATATGACTGAGAACGGACACGAGCACCTGGGTACACACGGGTGGGATTTATCATTCAACAACGTGCATACGAGAGGCCACCGCAGGTTTCATAAATTAGGGTTTTGACCGTTCATATGAACATTCTAAATTTCGTTCATAGGAAGGAATTCAGGAATTTTTCTACAAACGTTTGAGTCATGAGGCCCCTGGAGAATGAATACATCAGTGGTGCCCGTGATCATCGGGGTGGTAACCCCCAGACTGGAGGAGCGGCTAAAGCAGATCCCAGGAAAAACATCAGACACCTCAGTCCAGTTCTAGAAACAGCTAAGATATGCACAGAACCCTTGAGCTCCCAGGCCTCTGGCAGAGGACCTGAGCTTGGCAGTATGAGACCAGCCACGGAGGGTGAGATGGGGATTAAATACATATATAAACATAGAAGATTATATGCTTGTGGGACTCATTTTTCTGTTTAATTATAAAATCTTTGTAAACACACATAGCATCACAGAAAGAAGAGTCACTACAGTCCTGTTGATCATTGCCAGTTTATTGTAAGATCTGAGGAAATCAAAGCAGGCCGGATCTAGTCAGAGAAAGTAGAAGGATCCAACCACGTCTAAAAAAATCACACACATTATAGAGCTCTATAACGGCAGCTGTCTAGGATTCCTGAGAGACACTGACAGCCCTCTCCACCAACATGAGAAACTTTCTCTTCCACTGAGCGTGATCAGAAAGGGCCATTAGCTGGTTAGGGAAAGCAGTAGTTCATTTATCACCCTGATGCAGCTTTAATGAAGTGATAATGCATTAAGACATTCACAGTGGGTGGGAAATGATGAAAGAAAGAACGAAAGAGGGAAGAGCAGGATTCACTTTACTGGACCCAAGGTGATGTGTAATCATGAAGAAGTGAAGAGAAACACAAATTTATGAGTGTGTGTGTTTAGCAGGATGCATGGCTCCAGTGGTGGCATGCTAGTTGTGCAGCATTCCTTTTTCCCTTGCAGATCTGAGATTCTTTTAGGAAAAGACTCATTTGTAGCTTCCTTCAGAGTAGCAATAGGAATGCTAATTTAAGCCTGGAGATTTTGAGTATTTTATCCTGCTGAAAAACCTAAAATCAGTAAATCCAAATAGAAAAAAAATGTCGCTTTTAGGTGTTAAAGGCTATTTTAGGTTGACAAGCTTAAATGGAAAATGCCAGAGCTCCTCGAGTTCATATTTTGGAGCCTGTTATCACAAATATCTGAAGTGTGCCCTGTTTAATGAACAAGACAAGAGGTAACCTCCTTAGTAAGGAAGTATCCAGACAGGGGCCCCAATCACTACCTGGACTCCCTAGGTCAATTATCACTGTCAGGTGCAATAATTATTCCACCTTCTTAATTAATGCTTGAACTTGTAATTGAGATGCATTGTCTGCTGTGCAGGGGTTGAAATAATATGCACATTATCACTCACAATCCCTAACTTGTTGGTCTGGTTTTGTTTGCCTTGGGCTACAAGTTTTTGCTTTTCTCTTTTATTTCTGCTCTTCTACACAGAACATCTCTGTAGACTAGAAGGGAGCTCCAAGTCATAACTAATTTTCCATGTTTGCCAACTGTTTCACACTGGACCACCTTCCTCAAAGGGACGATTGTGAGAAAATAGCTGTATTTTTGTGGAGTTGGGGTTTAGGACTTAGAAATGTTGCAAAAGAAGATTGGTGCATGTGTTGAAGGTATTAAAGCAGAGTTTTAAAAGACAGGTTACTGAAGCTGCAGGGCTGGCTATTTTTAAAATGTTGTGACAAATCAGAGGTTGTCAAGTGAGCATAAGAATGTAGAAACTCAAGTTTCAACAGTAAAAGTGAAAATGTTGCTGCAATGGGCTCTTTCCTTTTGAGCTGTTTGCTGCATTCCACTTCCTAAAAACCCTTTAGGTTCATACACACTACTGATGTGGGCAGCAACAAATGAATGAACAAATGACTATTGTGAATTTTCCGGTATTATGAAAAACGGTCTTTTGAAACATAGCATGAACCAAAGTTAAAAACTGTTAGAAAACAACATAAAAATCTAAAGAAAACATTTTACATACAAAATAAAGTATTGTGTTGGGATGTCTTGACAGAGTTTATTGTGTACTGTCCCAAACTAGTGACTTATGAGTGGGGCATGTTCCACAAAAAAGGATACCTGATTAAGCCTGAATATCTTGGTTATTGTGATTCAACTTATCTGTGTTCGGGGTGCACTAAAACGAGACAGAGGGCAGTAGGATATGGTACGGTATAAGTTACCATGGAGATTTTCCATTATATTCTGTAGAGTTGGTAATTTTCAGGATCTGTTTGATCTAATCCCTCATTTCAGTCAGCAGTCACCCCAAAATGAAACCAGTCATTACTCCACTGCCCATTACACATGGTTATCACATATAACTAGAATCAATGTCAATATTTAACCATTTGAGATGAATATTTAAATCATTTTGGAAAAATGGTTTTAGATGATGTGCAATCATTAGAAATGACAGCTTTATTTTTATAGCACATTTCCTAACTCATTGTGATTTAAAGTAGCAAGAACATCACAAATATTACAAAAACAAACACAAGAATAAACAATGAAATCACATTAAAAAAACACTGATGACTAGAAAACTAACAGAACCTTAATAAGACATTGAGTAGAAAACAAAAAGTGGCCGGTGACTAGTGGTGGCACTTTGAGTCGGTAAGAAGGCTAGCCCGGAATTACAAAGTACTGTATGTGGACACATTGATTAAACTAAAAGTGGACGGTGACCAAAGCTAAAGCAGTAAAACTAGTACAAACCAGGGATAAACTGGGAGGCATGTTTAATCGAGAGGAGACCCAGGACACGATGGAGGGGCTATGCCACTCAGCTGGCCTTGGGATTGCCCCAGAGGAGTTGGCCCAAGTGGCTGGGGAGAGGGAATTCTTGGCCTCTGCTCTCAGGATGCTGCCCCCATGACCCAACCTCGGATAAGCAGAAGAGGATGGACAATGACCTACAAAAAATATAAGGGTTACAGGGAATTACTGAAACTAGAAGAATTGAAGACAAAAACTAGAAAACTAAGAGAATTTCTTTCCATTGCCAGAACTTCAGGGTAAATTCTGGGAGGAGGAAATTGAGTGGGAGATGTGATGTCTCGGTCCTCCCAGCTGTTGTGTCTCCATTCAAATTCAGCCCTTTCAGGACTTTTCACAGGTGTCAGCATATCGCGACTGCTTTGGCAGTGATTGGTGTAATATAATATCAGCGCCAAAATGCATCCATATTAATAACATTAAAAGCATTTATTCTGTCAAAGTATATCATAGTTTAATCCAATCGGAGAACAAGAGCAGCTGCGTGATGTAAAATATTGCATTGACCAGAAGAACTTCTTCTGGGCACTCTGAGACAACAAAGCCCAGTGAATTACATTGTTGTGAGGGAAGATTCCCGTGTTTCCCGGTGTCAGGAATTTGGTAACTAAGGCCTAGTCCAAACGTAGCCGGGTTTGTTTAAAAACGAATATCCGCCCCTCCAAAAACTTGCATCCACACCACCTCGTTTAAAAAGAAACTCTGTCCACACGTACCCGGATAAATACGTTGTTAAGGACATGCCAGACCTGTAGGCGGCAGTACTTCCCCCGTTCTTAACCTCGTCCTTCGTCTGTGGTCTTCCGCAAGGAGCAGTAATTCCGCTTGCAAAAACAAACAAGCAAAAAGCGCTTGGACAATTGAAAAAGCGAGCGCAGCTCTGAGGGCATCCATGCTGTCGGCTAGTGTAAACACAGGTCACACACGTGATGTCAGCATTTTTTGTCGCGGAAAGTGACGTTGCGGACCTTAAAACTACGATTTTGTTTGTCCACACGCAGACACCCAAAACGGAGAAAACGCAGATCTTCACTTTGGCCGGAGTTTTTAAAAAGATCCGTTTTCGTGTGGATGACAGGCCAAAACGTAGAAAAATATCTACGTTTTGGCAGATCCCCGGCTACGTGTGGACAGGGCCTGAGATGTGAGGAAATTTCAACGTGTTTACCAGTTTTGGGAGTTCAGTAATGAAAATTTTAAAGCTGTGATCGGTGCTTATTATCTTTTGCCATCGTTTCTGCTTTACAAGCAACTCTTCTAATGCAGTTTTGAATGGCATCTGCTGATGTAATTTCCTACTGAGTTGCAACCAATCAGTGTGAGCTAACCAAAAGTTACGCTCAGCTACTCCACCGGACCACTTCGAGTACCTACCCTTGATCGTTCGGCCGGCCCGGTCAATTGGAGACATGCACATGTCAGGAAGTTCTTGTAAGTTTACCCAAATGTTCCAGTAGTGGAAACTATTATGTAAAAAGGCTAACCAATGAAAACAATGAACTAGAAGTGTAAGGTAACTAAGGCAGTAAAACTACTATCATTGACATGGTTTGGGGAATGTGTTTAACCCAAGACATACAGAATCACACACTCACAGATCTTATGGTAAAAAAAGAATCTTCATTTTAAAACGGGAACTGAAGGTGCACTGGAAAAGCCCAGTGGAGATCGAGAACGGGAGCGCAGTGTCTGTGGAGGGGAGAGCAGATACAGGTGAGTCCAGGAAGGCAAGTCTAAACTTGGTGGGTGCAGAGAATAGACTTACTGGGAGTAGGGGAGCGTAGGAATGAGGGAGGGTATGATGGGTACCGGGGTGAATCCAAGTGGGGTGTCCAGGAGAGGGAGCGAGAGGAGAGCAGGCCGGCCGGGAGGAATGGAGAATGGTGAGAGCTGCGTCCGGAAATCCTATGGGGCACAGGTGAGTAATCCTGAGGAGTCGCAGAAAAACAGAGACATAATCCAGAGAAGTCACAGAAGTCCAAAAATGTTCCAAAACCTGGTAACGGGTAAGCACAGAGAAAAGATCTAAAGGTTCACAAAAAATTCTAGAAACATTACAGCACAAAATCCAAGAGTAGCAAGAGGGCAGGAAACTACCAAGCTGTAGTAATCATCCGGCGTTGAGGATGTTCTCCATCCTCCTTTTGTAGCCAGGCCCGCTGATTGCAAATCTACTGCAGCTGGAGCCTCCCTCTCCTGAAACACACAACTCAAAGATGGAAAAATGAGAGGAGTACTCACCCTGGCACATGACAATCATGAACTATAAAAAAAAATTTGAATCTAAAAAACTAACAGAATTCCAATAAGAGATTGAGAAGAAGACAATTTACAGTTTCTTGGATTATAAAAACTATGGAATATTAAGGCCACTCTGGTGCTAACTCTCAGATCTGACCACTAATATTATGGCGACAACTCAAGCTTTTACATCAATTTTGGACTATTTGGACTTGGGCTTTATTAGAATAAGGAGCAGATAGATGTATTTATGTCCATTATTTAGAAAAAAGATGTATTTTCGCCTTCTTCAACAGCGGACTGCCTCATTTACAGACATCTGTTGCAGTGAGTATGTCACATTGTTCATTGTCCAGTAGCATGTGGAGATTGTTTGAAAGACAACAGTAGAACCCGCCTCACAATCGAGAACCGTCAGTGGAGCGTTGCCAGACTAAATAAATATATTTATAAAGTCCAACTTGCCAGCTACATCAGTGGAGCGTTCCGCAGGAGCCTGATGTCAGTTTGTACTCAGGAATCCAGGACATCTCCTTCTCTGAATGTCCTTCACAGTGTCTCTGGCTCTGCAGAATCTCCCAAAATTCCAAACCTCTGCATGTTTCCACAGAATGTCCCAAATTGTTGGCCTCCATCTCTTTCTGTCTTCTTCCTGTCTTCTCTCCTCTTTATGGTAGCATCCTAATCAGTGAAAAAGCACTGCAGCTGTGGGTCTCCGCTGCAGGACATAGAGCTGACTGGAGTGCTTGGGTCTCCGCACCCCATGGAATGGAGCTGTTCTGGGTCCTAAACTGATGCTTCTGTCAGTAAACAGAGCTGGACCGGGCCGTGTTACAGCTCCAAAGGCTGGTGGTCGTAACAACACAAGACCCTAACAGTATGCTCCAGAGCCCTTTCCTCTGGTCGGTTTCCTAACCCTACATACATCCATTAGTACAGCACAGATTCCAAAGCCCCTCCCTGAACCATTTTGTTTCAACCACCGTCTCAGCGCTTCCTCCTGAACTCAAAATCTCCAACCAAGCTAGAAAAACCTCTCAGTAGCACATCTTGCCAGTTAAACTTCTGTTCGCCTGTTTACTTATTCCCTCACTGAAGCCCCTGGACCATTCTTCCACCTGAGATTCAAGTGTTAAATAAACATTTACTTTTGTTATTCACCAGTACAATCTGTGCTCCGAGTTTGTCTGCATTTCAGATCTGAGAAATCCTGGAACAACACAATTTCATTGAAGCCTATGAAGGTTAGATGTCAATCAGGGCCGGTTGAAGTTTGTGATGATTAGAATGTTGCACTCCAGGAAGCATTGACAGACTAATCAAGAATAATCACTTTAATGACACCTCTTTCCAAGGCCATGCCACTGAGCACTATGGTGCTTTGCTGCTTCCTGTGTAGTCCAATTTATTCTGCATGATGAGATTAGATTTAGGATGAAACCCTAACAAGGCAACATCGCACCAGCAGGAAGGCACAGAATACCCTGCTATGGCAAAAACATAACATTTAAAGAAAATCTTTATGATCTTTGCATTCATTCACTGCACGATATAACAGCCGGTGAAACAAGTTTACAGAGTTAAGAGTGTTGGATCTCTCAGTGCATGAATAATGATGTGCCAATGTGTGCTACCAACAGAATATGTTATGGTGCTCATGCATAAAACGTATTGGTTATGTGTATCATCTGCTGCCTACAACACTTCCACTCTTCAGTAGTCTGATGCCATAAGCTTTGATACAGACACAACACGGTGAATGCAACTGCACCAAACTGGTGATCGGAGTCCCAAACTCTGCTTTAAAGACCACACCTTCTTTTATCACTTGCTCATATTTAGCATCATTTGTCATGCAGACTGGAGCAAAACAATCTGTGACTTGTGGTTAATTTTTATACCCATATTGGTGTGTGTGTGTGGGGTGGGGGGGTGGGGGGTGGGGGGTGCTGCTAAGCTCAGTGTTAAAAGTATCATACTCTGTACTGTGGGGAAGAGAGTGCTGTTTGGGCTTGCTGCTGTCGCCTTGGAACCCATGGCAGCTTGTCCATAGGGGGCGCTGACGAAGGACTTCGGGGGCATTTGTCCTGTTGTGTTCAGTTGTTTATCGTAATTCCTGTATCTCATTATTGGCCCTTTTTGTACAGGTGCTGTGTGTCCAGTCCAGTTTACTGGCTATGAAAGAAATACAGTCTCACCAGAACATGACCTCTTTTAGACATTAAATTTATGACATACAATTTTTAATCTGTGAAATTATGTATTTGAGTTTTTTTAAATACACCATCAACATTTTATTCATAAAAGTTCAACCGCAGAAATTCAACAACAAATGAGGTGACCTCCTGGTGACGCAAGCCAAAGGAATCATCACTTGATCGAGACGGTGCCTCAATGGTGTCAGTTGATCTGAGAAATGTAATTTGATTGGCTAAATGTCACTTGACTTGATCATTTGAAAATTACTTTGGCTTGGATCAGGAATTCATCTCATTTGTTGTTGATGTTAAAACTTTGCAGCTGGTATAAAAAATTAAAAAAAAAACTTTGCATTTGAAATTCCTCTGTTGCATGTATTGATATGTTTACGTTGAAATTCAGCTGTTGAACTTTTGCTAATGAAAATTTTTATATTGACATTCTGCTATTGAATTTTCGCCAATGATATTTTCACGTGAAAATTCAGTTGTTGAATGTTTGAAGTTGAAATTCTACTGTTGTACTTTTACAGGTGATTTTTTTTTTTGCTGGTGCATTTTACAGAAAGAAAAAAAAATTCAATGTCACAAATTCAATATTATTTTTTTTTCTTTTTTTCTGGTGAGACTGTATTGCTTCCATAATTGTCCACCCACACACCAGGGGCCTTGACCACTGTCGATGTAATCTGCTTGGATTCCTTAGACCCAAAACTTTTAACCGATTGGAAAGATGAGCTGAATTTAATGCACTATTACATTGAGATTACTTGTGTTGGAAATTGGTGCTATGCAAATGAACTGAATTGAATGGAACATTTCAATTCTGTTAAATTTTATGTGATCTTAAAAATGAGAGTAGAGTTAGAAATCTATCCAAAATAATAATAATACATAGTAGTATGTGCTTCTTATTAGTACATCCATAAGATATGTGCTGGTTAATTCTGAATACATTCATAACTAATACATTACCCCAAAGCTTTCAGTGTGTTCTTATATAATGTGGAAACACCATCCTGATATATGTGGTTAACTGTGTCTTTCTTTCATAAGCACTTGTTACCCACAATGCTTTGCATCTGCACAGATGAAGGGCTTTAATTAAGCCTGTGTGGCACACATCAATCATGAGCTCAGAGCACCTTTCCAATCCTAGAGGTCAGTTTAACTTGTCCAGAGCTAAATTAATTATCCAATTACTTTTCTCCGAGGACTGTAATGCCCAGATAGCTTCAGAGTTACTTACAACAAGCTGTCTTGCTAAGATAACTAGCGGACCAGTAACTTCATTTCATCTTAGTGATGGGCCAAAATTCCTGAAATTGCCAAGAAACCCAACAAACTTCCTAGATGTCATTTGCATGTTTCTCTGAGAAAGATCAGAATGTGTGGATGGTTAAAAACAAAACATTTCCAATTTCTATCTAGCTACACCACAGCGCTTTGTTTACTTTATCTGTCTGAAGCCCAAGAGAAAAGTTGAGAATAGTTTTAGAATAAGTCTGATAGATCTCGAACACTGGTACTTTCTGGTTTCCCAAAGGTACCATCCTTCTGTGTGAATCTTCTTTCATAAAAAAGTTATTCTCATTGAATGGTGACAAAACTTAGCTATCTATTATTACTCCTGTAAAATCTCCCCTCCATCATTCAATTCTGTCATCTTTCTGGAATCAATATTTATTTTATTTTCGATTGAGCTCACTTGTCCTTATTTGCCAAATTAAAGGGTTGAAATTCAAAACATAAATATAGGACTTCTAAAACAAAAAAATCTTACAATTAAGTAATTTTTTAATAAAAAAATTGAGGCACTGGTTAAGTCCAGTGCACTCAGAAAACCATGTGATATTCCCTAAAATTCAAGTGGACACGAAAAATGTAGGATGTTAGTGATGTGCAGCCAGGACGCACAGACACGGTCAAAGCTTTGCTTTGCAGGTGTATACATCAATCAATCGACCAATCAAAGTTTATTTTTGTAGCACTTTAAAAGTACTTGTTAACCAAAGTGCTTAAAGGAGATGAAACACATCATAAAAAAGCATAAAGGAACATATAAGCTAGCAGGACTGAGCAGGAGATAGCAGTGACCAAAATTGTTAAGTAGAAGAAACATATAAAATATAAAATAAAAATAAATGGCAAAAGATATAAAAATACAGGGACAGTGTAAAACAAAGTAAAACCAGATAAATAGCATGAAAATATATGGGAAAGTGTCATACTCTAAAAGCCAGGGAGTAGAAGTAATGTTTTTAAAAGTGACTTAAAAGTAGTCAGATCCAAGACTGGAAGACTGTTCCGTAGTGTAGGAGCACAAACTGTAAAAGCCCGATTCCCTCAGCGTTTGTATTTAGATCTAGGAACTTTTAAAGTGACAATGTGTAGTTTTAACCATAAATCTCTAGAAATATCCATCTAAATGTTGTTGTAAAGGAATTAAAAGATGCCCAGTTATTAAAAATATTGGCAGTTTCATGACATATAACCATAAAAAATCTGCAGTGCAGATTGCAGTAGTGGCTTGGTCATAGGGGACGCTAATGGCAAAATAAAATGTAAATAAGAACAAAATTGAAACCCCTCCCTGGGCTGCCACTTTACTGTGGTGGAGGATTTTCAGTGTCCCCATGATTCTAATAACTAAGTTGGCTCAGGCTTTATGCCTCTGGTAGGGTCACCCATGGCCAACAGGTCCCAGATGAGGGATCAGAAAAAGCATAGCTCACAGACTCCTTATGATTCTGACCTCAAATGGAAATAGTGATCCCTCGCCCAGACGCTAGTCCCCAAGGCACCCTCTGGAGACAGTCCTGGAATTGGGGCATGTTGGTGTAACATCCAGCAATGGTCAGTTTTTAGGTACAGTTTGACATTCAACATCTGGTCAAAAAGGAGACACAAGACTGCATTTGTCCCCTTTAAATCAGCCTGCCTCCATCCCACCAGCTGGAGCTCAGAGCCTGCAGCTCTGAACACAGATAACGAAATGTCAACAATAATGTTCTCTCCTCAAGGTCCAGTCTTTCAGGATTCTTCATGCTTCCATATAAGGAAAACTCGCAGCCATGATTTCCTAAATCAGATATGAACTTCTACAACTTATGAGCTAGATAATCATTAAATAAACGTTTGTTTATTGCTACTTATAATAATTATAATATAATGAAATGTTTCATTCATCTGTGCTCAATGATTGAAGTTTGAAATGAATGTTATGTTATGATTACAGTGATTGAAATATGTTCAGCATGTTTATATGACACGGTCATCACCACTTGCACTCACAAGGACAAAGTAAGGTTAAGTTAAATTCATGACGCATAGATAGTCCTTTACCCCAGATCAGAGCCTCCGGTATCAAAGAAGGCGTGTTTCTGAGATTCTTGGTAATATTCCTCAAACTTGTCAACCTCTGGTTGGCTACACAAGTCATAACATGAGAACATTAAAACCAGATTACTCTACTGATTCCTCAGTTCTAGAGAAAGCTTCAGACCGGCCATCTGGAGCAAAACCCTCTTTAACCATCAAAGCTTTTGACACGTCGTCAAAACCTTTTTGCACCTGCGAAGCTGATACAGCAACAGTTCCTGCAGAACAAGCTGATATTGTTTAGACTCCTTCAGAGTCCCAGACGCGCGGTTCCATCCATCTGTCATGACCCGAGACATCTCTGGACTGGAGAAGTCGGTGCTGTGGTCAATCTACTGGACCTTCGGTGCCAGAGGTCATCCGACCTCTCTGACCTTCAAATCCACTAAGAGGGTCTCCAGAATGGGTGAAGTAGACATACAGATAGCGTCTGATGTGCTTTTGATAATAATCAACTTCATAGCTTAACGTAAACCAAATTCTTTTACATCCAGAACTCAGCTCTCCTAGATACGGAAGTTCTGACTAACATTGCATTCACACATAGGTTCATACATCACATCTAGTTCCATCCATCACAGTAAATGTTAGTTAACTTGTCATGTTTTAATTGTTGGTAAAATAAATTCTTACTTTTATAAACCTGACTCTTTTCGGAATCAAAACGAAGTGAGCACAATCCCCTAATAAATAAAGAACCCTAGATTCTTCTGATTAAACACCGTAAAGACCAAGAAGGGTTGATATTCTATATTTAGATAGAGTATCACAGCTTATTGGTCATAAGTAGAGGTACTATATATATTGAGCTCTTAAAGCACTCAATTTACCAAACCCTACATTGGTGAGAGGCAGCCAGGCATGGCCTAAACAGGAAATGTTGGTCCCCCTTCCCATGGGCTCACCACTTGTGGGAGTGGCTAAAGGGGTTGGGTGCATTTTGTGTTGGGTGGTAGCCAAAGGCGAGGACCTTGGCGATCCAAAATTAGTTTTTCTCTGCAGGGTTTCCGGGCTCCCCCTTAGAGATAGGGTGAGAAGCTCAGTCATCCAGGAGGGGCTCAAAATAGATGTGCTGCTGTTCCACAGCAAGAGGAGCAAGTTGAGGTGGCTTGAGCACTTAGTTAGAATGCCTCCTGGACACTTCCCTGGTGTGGTTTTCTGGGCATGTCTAAATGGGAGAAGACCCAAAGGAAGACCCAGGTAACATTGGAGGGACTATGTTTCTGAGCTGGCCAGAGAATGCCCTATGGTATTCAATTCAGGGCCGGCGGTATCCAGCATGTTTTAGTTTTAACTCTGTTTCAACACACCTTAACCACTGAATCAGGTGTGTTGGTGCAGAGAAACCACTAAAATGTGATGGATACTAGCCCTCGAGGACCAGGAATTATTCCCCTGGATGCAGACTCAAGTGGCTGGAGAGAGGGAAGTATGGGTCTCTCTATGTAGGCTGCTGACCTCGCAACCCAACCCTGTATGAGGATAATGGATGGATGGATGGACAACCCTGTATAAGAGGATAATGGATGGATGGATGGATGGATGGATGGATGGACAACCCTGGATAAGAGGATAATGGATGGATGGATGGACAACCCTGGATAAGAGGATAATGGATGAATTGATGGACAACCCTGGATAAGAGGATAATGGATGAATTGATGGACAACCCTGTATAAGAGGATAATGGATGGATAGATAGATAGATAGATAGATAGATAGATAGATAGATAGATAGATAGATAGATAGATAGATAGATAGATAGATAGATAGATAGATAGATAGATAGATAGATAGATAGATAGATAGATAGATAGATAGATAGATAGATAGATAGATAGATAGATAGATAGATAGATAGATAGATAGATAGATAGATAGATAGATAGATAGATAGATAGATAGATAGACAGATAGATAGACAGATAGATGATAGACAGATAGATGATAGATGATAGATGATAGATAGATAGATAGATAGATAGATAGATAGATAGATAGATAGATAGATAGATAGATAGATAGATGGTAGATTTACATAGTACATGTATTAATTTGAGTATTATAATTTAATTTATCTGTAAATTAAATAATAGACTTTCTGTAAAATTGCTTGTTTGCAGAATGAAAATAAATTATTGTTTTGGAATTGTAATAATTTTCCAACTGTTCATTAGAATGCTTTTAATGGACTAGGAAGAGAAATCTTTTCACACATAGTCCCACCATGAATTTTTTTCACCAGCTGCCACTAATTGGGTGGGAGAGAATCAACACATCAGAAATGACTTCATCTGCTCTTAGATGACCTGACACAGAAAGAAAGAAAGTTGAGTGATCTTCATTGGGACCTTGACCTCTTCTTTGACAGTAAGGGCAGAGGAGTAGGAGGGAAAACATGAACATTATAAAAAAATATAGACACCCCCTGGAGGCATTTGGTATCTCTGTATCTGAGCCTAATGATAATACAATCCATAATGGTCAGACTGGAGTCAGGTTATGTGGAAACTGTTTTTTATGTTCTCTTTTCCTATGAACTTTGCATATTTCCTGCAGCTCGTATGAGTTTTCTCTGTTATTGTGAATTATTTTTCTACCTTAATAAACATGTCCATAAGCTGAACATTTTCTCGATCAACAGGATCTGGAAGTCATCATTGAGGCTACTAACAGAAATTCAAATGCCTTCCGAGCCCAACAGTAACCTGGAACTTTTTTATTATCTGAACACAGATAAAAATAGAAAAACCGCGAGATTACGACTAAGGTAGATTAACATAACATTCACTATATCATTAATTAAAAGACAACTCTATATTAATAAACTAAGCAACGCAGCTATATAAACACATCTAAGAAGTCCTCACCTACTGGAGGCATAGTTGTCGGCCTCTGGACTGGCGGCGTCGACCTCTGGACTGGAGACGGCGTCGACCTCCGGACTGGAGGCGGTGTCGACCTCTGGACTGGAGGTGGCGGCGTCGGCCTCTGGACTGGAGGCGGCAGCTCGGCCTTTGGACTGGAAGCTGCGGCGTCGGCCTCTGGACTGGAGGCGTCGTCGTCGGCCTCTGGACTGGAGGCGTCGTTGGCCTCTGGACTGGAGGCGGCATCGACCTCTGGACTGGAGGCGGCGTTGGCCTCTGGACTGGAGGCGTCATTTGCCTCTGGACTGGAGGCGGCAGCGTCAACCTCTGTACTGGAGGCGTCAGCATCGGCCTCTGGATTGGAGGCGTCGGCGGCGGCCTCTGGACTGGCGGCGGCGGTCTCTGGACTGGCGGCTGAAGCCTCTGGACTGGAGGTGGCGTCGACCTCTGGACTGGAGGCGTCGGCGTCGGCCTCTGGACTGGAGGCGGTTTCGACCTCTGGACTGGAGGCGGCGTCGACCTCTGGACTGGAGGCGGCGTTGACCACTGGACTGGAGGCGGCATCGACCTCTGGACTGGAGGCGGCATCGACCACAGGACTGGAGGCGGCGTCGACCACTGGACTGGAGGCGATGTCGACCACTGGACTGGAGACAGCGTTGACCAGGGCTGGAAGGGGCATCGACCTCAGGGCTGGAGGCGTCGACCTCCGTCGACTTCTGGTCCGGAGGCGTCGACTTCTGGACCACCGACTTCTTGACCGCCGACTTTTGGAGTGGAGGAGGAGCTGCTGCAGACGGGACCGCTTCCTTGGCTGGAGCCGCCGGACTGGGCTCTGACATCTGGACAGGCCAGCCCGGGGGAAGAGCCTCTTGGGTCACCGCTGGAACTGGAGCTGACTGGAGTGGTGGCGCGGGACCGGGTGCTGACTGAACTGGTGGCGCCGGTAACTGGGAAAGCAGGGAGGATAGATTGTCCAGCTGGAGCTCCTGGAGATTGAGGCTCTGATGGAATCGGGCCAGCTCAGCTCGGAGACCGGCGAGCTCTGTTGGATGGACTACATCCATGTAACTAACAGACAGTTGTTTTATGTTTATGTTTATTCATTTAGCAGATGCTTTCATCCAAAGCGACTTACAATTTATAACCTATAGGGCATGTTGTGATCTGTGGGGGAAACCGGAATACCTGGAAGAAACCCACGCATGCATGGGGAGAACACGCAACTCCACGCAGAAAGGCCACAGCCAAGTTTCGAACCTGCAACCTTCGTGCTGCGAGGCAACAGTGCCAACCACTGTTTACCATGCAGCCCAGTTCTGAATGCAGCTTCTGCTTGTTTGTCTGATTATTGGTCAATGATCTGTTTCATATCTCAGCCACAGGTTTCTATGGTAAATGGTAAATGGCCTGTATTTGATATAGCGCCTTCTAGAGTCCTGGAATCCCCCAAGGTGCTTTACAACACAATCAGTCATTCACCCATTCACACACACATTCACACACTGTTGGGGATGAGCTACATTGTAGCCACAGCTGCCCGGGGGTGCACTGACAGAGGCGAGGCTGCCGAGCACTGGCGCCACCGGTCCCTCCGACCACCACCAGCAGGCAACATGGGTTAAGTGTCTTGCCCAAGGACACAACGACAGCGACAGACTGAGCGGGACTCGAACCTGCAACCTTCCGATTACGGGGCGATCACTTAACTCCTGTGCCACCGTCGCCCCAACGTGTTCTAAAACGTGTTTATTTTCCATTTATGATAATATTTGTTTTAATTTGACCACTTTTAGGCTGATGACATTGTTATTTATTTTATTGTCATTTTTTAATTTTTTTTTTTTATTGTTGGTCCGTCCTAACGGGCCTGACCTCACCACCCTTGGTCCGGGCTCCCCCTAGTTCCAGAGGTAATTTGAACCCTGTTCTTGAAACAGAATTAGGACAGAATAAGCTAACATCCCAAAAATCAATCCATGATATCCAGAAGTACAATGCTTTATTGTTTCCACTGAAGATGGTCAGGTGAATTAAAAACAGTGTATACTGTGTGTAAAAGTGGCAAAAAGAAGAGGGGCAGAGCAATCGTTTCAGATGGGGGAAATGAAGGAGGATGCTGGACAAAAGGTTTGGTTGAAATACAACATGGTTATGTTGAGAAATTAGTTTCTGTGTAAGATAGGTGGTGAACAGATGTAATTAACTTCTGTTCATACAATAACTACAGCTGAGCAAAAGCTGGAGAAGTAAATCCATCTCTGTCATGAAGGAGTGGAGCCCTCTGGAACAGTCCCAGCTGATAAAGAGTCAGAGCTGAAGTACACTGGCTTAGAAGAAACTCATGAATCACTGCAGATGCCGAACCAATCGGCCTGTCAATCGCCCGATCCCTCCTACCCTCACTCGTGAACAAGACCCCAAGATACTTAAACTCCTCCACTTGAGGTAGGACCTCTCTCCTGACCCAGAGTTGGCAAGCCACCCTTTTCCGGTCGAGAACCATGGTCTCAGATTTGGAGGTGGTGATCCTCATCCCAGCCGCTTCACACTCGGCCACGAACCTACCCAGCAAGAGCTGAAGGTCAGAGCTGGATGAAGCTAGGAGGACCACATCATCCGCAAAAAGCATAGACGAGATTCTCCTGCCACCAAACTCGACAAACTCCACACCACGGCCGCGCCTAGAAATTCTGTCCATAAAGGTAATGAACAGAACCGGTGACAAAGGGCAGCCCTGGCGGAGTCCAACCCTCACCGGGAACAGGTCTGATTTACTACCGGCTATGCGGACCAAACTCATGCTCCTCTGGTAAAGGGACTGAATGGCCCTTAACAGAAAGCCACCCACCCCATACTCCTGGAGCATCCCCCACAGGGTGCCCCTGGGGACACGGTCATAAGCCTTCTCCATATCCACAAAACACATGTGGATTGGTTGGGCAAACTCCCATGCGCCCTCCATCACCCTTGCAAGGGTATAGAGCTGGTCCACAGTTCCACGGCCAGGACGAAAACCACATTGCTCCTCCTCAATCTGAGATTCAACTATCGATCGGACCCTCCTCTCCAGTACCTTGGAGTAGACCATTCCAGGGAGGCTGAGGAGTGTGATCCCCCTATAGTTGGAACACACCCTCAGGTCACCCTTCTTAAAGATGGGGACCACCACCCTGGTCTGCCACTCCACAGGAACTGCCCCCGATGACCACGCAATGTTGCAGAGACGTGTCAACCACGACAGCCCTACAACATCCATAACCAGGACGAATCTCATCCACCCCCGGTGCTCCGCCGCTGTGTAGTTGTTTGACTACATCTGCAACTTCTGCCCCCGAGATTCAATTCAATTCAGTTCAAAAATACTTTGGACAGTCCATCCCCAGGTCTCCCGGCTCTGGTTCCTCCTTGGAATGTGCATAGCTGGGATTGAGGAGCTCCTCAAAGTATTCCTTCCACCGTCCGACTATAGCCCCAGTTGATGTCAGCAGCTCCCCATCCCCTCTGTAAACAGTGTGAGCGAGTTGCTGCCTCCCTCTCCTGAGGCGCCGGACAGTTTGCCAGAACCTCTTTGGAGCCGATCGATAGTCTTTCTCCATGGCCTCAACAAACTCTTCCCACACCCAAGATTTTGCCTTGGCAACTGCGACTGCTGCACCCCGCTTCGCTATCCAGTACCTGTCTGCTGCCTCTGGAGACCCACAGACCAGCCACGCCCTGCAGGCCTCCTTCTTCAGCCTGACGGCTCCCCGAACCTCTGGTGTCCACCAGCGGGTACGGGGGTTGCCACCACGACTGGCACCGGCCACCTTGCGACCACAGCTAGCAACAGCCACCTCAACAATCGCCGAGTGGAACAAGGCCCACTCGGAGTCAATGTCCCCCACTGCTCTCGGGACGCGGTCAAAGCTCTGCCAGAGGTGGGAGTTGAAGACCGTCTTGACAGGTTCTTCTGCCAGGTGTTCCCAGCAGACCCTCACTATGCGTTTGGGTCTGCCAGGTCTACGCGGCAACTTCCCCTGCCATCTGATCCAACTCACCACCAGGTGGTGATCAGTTGACAGCTCTGCTCCTCTCTTCATTCGGGTGTCCAAAACATACGGCCACAGGTCAGATGATACGACTACAAAGTCTATCATCGACCTGCGACCTAGGCTGCCCTGGTACCAAGTGTACCGATGGGCATCCTTATGTTCGAACATGGTGTTCATTATAGCCAAACTGCGGCTTGCACAGAAGTCCAAAAACGAAACACCACTCGAGTTCAGATCAGGCGGGCCGTTCCTCCCAATCACACCCCTCCAGGTCAAGCTGTCATTGCCCACGTGAGCATTGAAGTCCCCCAGCAGGACAATGGGGTCCCCTGAGGGACTCCAAAAAGCTGGGTACTCTGAATTGATATTTGTTCCATAAGCACAAACAACAGTCAGGACCCATTCCCCTACCCAAACGCACAGAGAAACTACCCTCTCATCCCTCAGGGTAAACCCCAACACACAGGCAGAGTCTTGGGTCTAACAAAAAGCCAACCCTAGCCCTCCGCCTCTCACCCGGAGCAACTCCAGCAAAGGAGAGTGTCCAACCCCTCTCAAGGACTTGGGTTCCAGAGCCAATGCTATGTGTCGAGGTGAGTCCGACTATATCTAGCCGGTACCGCTCAACCTCTGCCACAAGCTCCTGCTCCTTCCCTGCCAGCGAGGTGACGTTCCATGTCCCAAAAACCAGTTTCCTTGTCCGGGGATCGTACTGCCTCGGTCTGCCACCCGATCCACGCTGCACCGGACCCTTCATGTTCCTCCTGCGGGTGGTGGGTCCACAGTTGGATGAGCCCATGTATCAGGTTCGGGCTGGGCCCGGCCGGGCTTGAGACTCGCTATATAAAAAATTGTTTATTCTTCTAGCCAATCAGAAAGTGAGGAGACTGAAGCACACAGCACACTCTTCCTGAATCATGTTCGTCTTCTCTGAAATCCTATTTGATCTTGAGATTTTTTCTATCTTACTGGTAATGTCCATGTGTAAAATCAGTTTGTGTGTGGTTATTGCTGCAGAAGACCAAAAATGGTAAATCCATCATTTTTCATTTAGACGTGCAGGGTCTCTCTTTAGAAAATTATCAGACCACCTCAATAAGTTTGAAATATCCTAGTCTGGCTTTCATAAAACCCACAGTATGTAGACAGGCCAGGGCCCACATTCATCTAAAGTTCATAGAAACTTTCCTTTATTCCATCCTGTGAATGCAATTTAGAATTTTTGTACAACCAAAATCCTGATTTATGAAACGTGCATTTGTATGTAATCATATGCATGTTCCTCCACAATCAATTGTTGCTAAATCTCACCTGTGCATACCCAGGTGCTTGTGTCCATGCAGTCATTTACACACAGAAACACCCCCAATTTGCCCTATTTGGTCACACCACATCCTAAGCTCATGAGGGAAATCCTTGCATTCCCCAAAACATATTTAGGTACACGTCTACACACAAGATGGTAAATACGACGTAATGAGGGCCCAGGTCAGAATCACTAATGATCTCCTGGTTCCAGGGCTCTTCTTTTTGGATCTTTAAGTTGTGTTTAATACACTCAACTATGATATTCTGTCATCTGTAGCTGTACACTGGACTCTCTGGAACCATCCTAGGAGAGCTTTACTTCAGACATGGAGGCTGGAGTACGTCACCCTGGGAGAGGTCAAATAAAGGCCTCACTATGTCACCTGTGGGGTCCTTCAGTCCCTGGCTGTCCCGGTTCTTCTACATACTCCTGAAAGGACACATGATCACCTAGTATGTAATCTTTTTGCGCTGCTATGCTGACGATAAACAGTGTATCAGGGCTTTTATTTTTGTTCGATTGAACTCAGAAGTCAGCCATTTAGGAAGCAGAAACAAGGACTTTGTGTACTATGTTGTTCCATCTCCTGTCTGGAATACCCTAGGGTACTTAAATGTACAACAAACAGGGGTGGACTAGCCTATCTGGCATTCTGGCACTGGTCGCTTGCACAGCACACACAACACCAAGCCAATCACCCCCCACACCCCGAGGGCAGATGGTTCGTAAAAATGCCACGGCCAAATTTTTGTCCCAGTCCACACCCGACTACAAAGCAACTTAACTGGGAGAAATTTGTGCACCAGCATCTTGTAACCTTGTCATCACTCAAAAACCTGTGATAACCTAATTGTGTTTAAAAAATTCTCAGCTCAATATTTATTTGAATACAAAATACATCATTTAATACAGTACAAGTATAAAGGCTCCATTTACAATAAAGATTTGTTTATGCAAAAATTTTAGACACAATCTTAAAAATACTGATGCATCAATGAGATATTAATTAAATGATATAATCACAAACAAAATACTTTCCAGCTGGTTTTCCTTTTGGGTGCATTAGTCACACTAGTGCAAACAAAACACCAACACTCTGGAATCTCTCTTGGGTTTGGAACGAAATGCCAAACTTAAAATAAATAAAACAAAACAAATCTTCACATCGTTTCCTTCCGAGTGACCTGGTTATGCGGTCTTGAAACACTGGTCCCACACAGGGTTCCAGTTAGCAAACGGAGAATCACATGATGTAGGTTCTAGTTCCAACTGAACCACCAAACAAGGGTTTGATTATTTCACACCATGGATTAACATAAAAATCCTTCTTATTCAATCGCTTCCTATTTAAAAACCTGTCTGAATTTTCAGCATTATTGCTTTTGTAGCTCAAAAAGAAAATGTGTGGAATAAATGATGTGAAATGTTTATTTATCCATTAAGTTAATGACACTCATTAACCATTAAAACCAGTGAAATATAATTTGGCATGAACAGATCCCATCTCCCATTAAACCACTAACACCTCACAAATGTGTACAGAATGTAAACTTTGGGTATTATTTCTCCAGAATGTTTTTAAAACTACAGCAAAAGCTATCGAGGAATAATCACAACAATAATAAAAAAATGATCAGGGTTGTCCCTTCTTTGTTCACTGGGACCTCCAGCAGATTAAAACCACATAGCCCACAGGAGAAGGGGCGGGGGTTAGGCCATGGTGTACCCATAACTCCCACAGTGCAGAGCCACCAGCAGTCGGTCCCTCAGACAGTCATGGTCTGGGTATTCTGGGAGTTTCAGCATGTTGATACTACAAATACACAAAAATAACTGAGTTAAGTACCAGTACCTGAGACATAAAACCTTCCCCATCACACCTGTCTGTATGTGTAGTGTGTTCTACACTGCCAACCCTCTCTCCCCCAGTCCTGGTTGTAACTGTGAATCACTTGGTGTACCCACCAATCGGAGGCTCCCCCTAATGGTAGGCATGAATTTGAGCCAGCAAATAAGTCAGCCGTGGGTGTATTGGACCAGTTCAGTCCGAAGCAGACCACCTCAGGAAGAGGGCTGAAAAAACAGCCGGTTGTGTGTGGGAAAATCCAAGGCTACCCAAATGAGAACACTCCAAACCCAGTCCAGGTGGAGTAGAGCGATCCTAGTGTGGAAGTGTTATATGGCAACACTAGCTGCTCTGCTATGGTATTTCGGTGAACTTGCCTCTTAGGGCTGGGCAATAGGTGCCAACATTTCTTCGTTGAATTCCATTAAACAATATATATCCAGATAATTTTCTTCCTGTAAAGTATTTACAGAAAAGGACTTAAAGTTACAAAGCGGGAAAGCCCACTCCATAAGGTAAACAAAAGTCGGACACGAGCCGTGTTGCTTTTGGAGACTCTGAACCACATTGTTTTATTAATTTGCTGTGTGTATCCTCATCATCTTGTCACACACACACACACACACACACACACACACACACACACACACACACACACACACACACACACACACACACACACACACACACACACACACACACACACACACACACACACACACACACACACACACACACACACACACACACACACACACACACACACACACACACACACACACACACACACACACACACACACACACACACTTCTCCCCTGAGCAGCTGTCTGCTTGCCAGGGCAAGAGCTCCGATGCGGAGAACAGAGTCGCCTCGGTCCCAGGCTGACCGCTGGGGAGAAGGTCTGAGAAAGAGTCGCCTCGGTACCGAAAACACGAATTTGACCTGTGTGTGAAACCAAATTCCCGTGCCGTTCGATACCTTTTGGGGCCGTGCCAACGTTAATGTGTAAGCGCCATAAGAGTCAAAGCTTTTTCTTGGACGGGAAAAACTTATATCATAATACGCTAATTTCATGACATAAACAAATCCATTAAGTAAGCAGATTACTCTCTGGTGAGTCACGCTGCGCTGAGTTACTTCAGTTATGAAGGCAAACATGGGTGAAGCCTCAGTATTCTGCAAGAAACGATTCTTAGTAGTTTCTGCAGGATGTTGACGGCAAATGTTCAAAAGGATGTTTTACAAATTAGCTCATTGCTGACTATGCGAAAACCAAACTAGCCAAATTATTGATCCACTGCTGTTTTTTTTGGAGCTAGCTCATCTGATTCTTCTCCAGGACCTGCTGTTGTCCAGTTTTCTAAGCCACCCGGGCAAAACTGCAGACCAGATGAGATTTTATTTGTACTCTTATCAAATCTAAATCCAAAGCTGCTCAGCACTAACACAGTAATAGTACTACAGTTGTACCTTTCCATAAGACATCAACAAGAAGAAAAGAAAAGCCTATGCTAACTAAACATGGACTCCACAAGGTGGTGATGGTGACTAAAGAGTGCAAGAATCACAACAACCAAGACAAAAGACAAGAATCCACTACAAACTCAAAGAGAAATGGGTTTACCAGGTACTGGAGGTAGGCAGAAGGTTGGACGTGTACGGCACTGCAGCAACCGTGAACTTCTGTAAACCACCACCGCCCATTAGATACGCAAAGCCACCATGAGGAACCCTGGAACTGATCAGAGAGGTTTAAAACCACCTGGCCTGTAAGAGTAACAATGGAACAGAACTTGTGCAGATGAACCAACCTTCCTGTTACAAACTGAAGAAGAAGAACCCGTTCCTCCTGAGTCAGACTCCTCACCACCTCCCAGAACCACTGAAAAGGACAAAGGCTGGTTAGCTGAAGTCACTTTCATGTTTACACAGTGACACTTTTCAATCTCATCCACAAAACCTGGTGAAAAGCTGTAAACCTAAATATTATGACTACCAGTCTCTTTTCAGCAGCAAAACCTTTTCGATTGCTCTGAAAGTCGGAGGGTCGACTGGAATCTGAAGCAAAGGTGGTATCTGATTAGGGCTGCAACAACGAATTGATCAAATCGACGACTAAATGTTTTGGCAACACATTTAGTCATCGATTCGTTGTGTTGTGCTACTTTTTTACATGTCAGGCAACATTTAAGAGTCAATGTGCGCAGCTCATCTGTAGGCGGCAGCAGAGCAGACCGCGGCAGATCAGAACAAGAGAGAAAGCCTGTGTTTTGATGAGGAACGACACACTTGAAACATGGCAGAAGCAGGAAGATCAAAGAAAACAAAAACTTCAAAATTTTGAGAGCATTTTATGTTAAACAACGCAAAGACCTTTGTCACCTGCAACATGTGTAAAATCAGACATGGAATGGCATGGGAGGACGACGGCGATGATGCAGCATCTTAAACGTAAGCATGTCTGAGCCATCAACGAGGAAGGGGAGAGCTCAGTGTCATTTGCAAAAAAAAAACTGTTGATTTTTAAAGAGTAATTGACCCCTAGGCCCTGATTAATTAAAACTGTTAGCACAACACTGAAGTCCTGCTGGGTTCAGCCCTACTAAAGTTCGCTCCAGTGTTTTAGAGACTGTCCACACTTGGATATTCGTACACACTACATCTTTCTTATTGTAAAATACTTTCCTGTTTTTATGTTGATATATGGGAAATTTGTCCTTAAAGAGAAAAATGTGTAGTTTTTACCATTCATTTCTGGAAATATCAAAATATTGTTGAAAATGATTGAAATGATGCCCAGTTGTTGAAAAATAATGGCGACTTTGTAAGATATAACCATAAAAATCAGGTCTAAAATACATGTCCAAGTCTCTGGGCGATGTCATGTTAGATGCCATGTTTCCTTCTATGGGAGCCCATGAGGACAAGATGCATTTACTGATTTGTAACAAACTGTTACAAAAATTTCATCATTCTTAAATGTTGTTTTACACATTTACATCTTCACTTGTTGCCAGTGATGAAAGGGAGTCTGATGTTCTTGTTAATTTGCTAAAGTTTGCACTCCCCAGGGCCTTTTGACCCTAATGGGTATCTATCTGTTGGTAAGGTCTTACTTCAACACAAAAATTCTTCTTGCTTGCAAAGATTTAGGCATCTACTGCCCCCTACTGCCAGGGAAAATACACACTGTCACTTTAAAGAACTTTAACAAAGCAAGCAAAGCCATTTCAAACGTTTTTTATTCTTTATCATTTGATATTTCAACGGCTGTAGGATATTTGAAGTGAGAGCATGTTGTAATGTTTTTAGATTTCGTGTTTCTAATAGCTCACTTTTAAGCAACAAAAATAGCTATTTTTATGTTGGTAATTTGTACAGCACTCTGATTAAGCAAAGCCATTTAAAACTAGTTCAAATTCTCAAAAGCTGTAAGACAGATGAGGTGATAGTATATTGTTTTGAATGCTGTTTTCTAATAATGTTCTGTTGTTAAATAAAGGAAAGAAAAAAAATGTTTTCCAGGCAGTTTTAAAATGTGCCCGTTTAATCCGATTAATCGTGTCGAGGCCCCATCATATTCATCGATTATCCTAATAATCATTTGTTGCAGCCCTATATCTGATTGATTAGATCCATAAAGTTCGGACAGCTCTGAGATAGGTTCTCATGGACCAGCACTGCACATGTATTTATCCAGCATGCAAACTGGATCTGTTTAATAGGAGACTACGCCCTAAACCATTCCCGAAGCACACCCAAAAAAGAGTTGTCAGCAAAAATGTTACAGAAACTTTCAAAGAAGTCTCAAAAAGCTTCCCAGTGTCAACCAGTCCCTACCAGTTCACTCTCTCCCTACAACTCAGGAACATGACCATCCGCACAAAGGAAAATTATCTGTGATTGGAGATACTGAGACCTAGATCCCTGTCTATCACCTACTAGACCTTGCGCCTAAAATTGTATCTTTTAGAGGATCAATGTCTGGGAAGAAATATTCACCAACTTCTCTTTTTATATTACTTGGTGCCATGGAAACCAGCTAGTGAATAGGTTTCATATGCATCAGTGGAGTTAAAGTTCTGGACACTAGGTGACGTTCCCTCGGCTGTCAGGCTCCAATAACACACAGTCAAACAAAACCACCTCACAGATCCTAGAGAGATAATGTCTAGGTAAGTGATCTTTATAGAGGAACATTTAAGTATAAAAAAATACATTTTAATATATATATATATTTTTTTTTACCGTGTCCTGTCTGGCTGTGAAGCAAGCAGAATTGATGTCTGAATGCTGGTGACAAGCCTTACAGATTTATTCTCAGGTGGAGCATCAAAGCGTTTGCTTTTAATGTCACGCCTGATACTTAAAACTTTATTGTTATTGTTGTTGAATGCTTTGTAATTCCGACCAGACACGGAGACAGAGGTGAAAGAGAAAGGAAGAGAAAAGGTGGAGAGAGAGAGGGGGGGGGTTCCACAAAAATAAACAATGAACAAGAGTCTGCTTCTAGACCTGCAGAAAAAGACAAAAAAAAAAAAAAAAAAAGGACACAAAAAAGGGACACAACAACAATACAACAAGATCTACCTATCACTGCGTCAACTTGATGAAAAAAAAACAAAACAAAAAAAACCAATATATATATATATATATATATATATATATATATATATATATATATATATAAAATCAACATTGCTTAACTGAAGAATCATGATAATAAATCACAACGCATTAAGTGCCCCCCATAGTCTTAAGACATGTGTTGAACGTGCCCAAGCCCATACTTTTGAGAGCACCATGTGAGCACCTGTGTGTGTACACGCGCTTGTTTATTTAAGGTTTCTCTATAGGAGCGTCCAACAGAGAGTGTGAGGGACCACAGATCCGCCCCGCAAAGATGCGCAGGAGACGGGGGGAGCTCCAAGTCCCAGAGATCCAGGCGTTGCCCCAGAATGCAGGAACCCCAAGGAGACTGCAACCAGAAAGGCCCCCGCCCCCCTCGAGAGGCACCCCCCGGGGGGCCACAACCAGCAGCCGGCAGAGTCCCTGGAGATATCAGCGGCAAGCCCACAGGCCCGCCCGCAGCCTCCCACCCCCTAGCCGGCCGAGCCCGGGACCCAGCGACCCGGGACCCAGGGGTGACCACCCCCGCCGGGGACCCAGCAGAGCCCAGGGACCCAGACCCCACCAGGCAGCCACCGGGATCTATCAGGCAGATGCCAAAATCTTAAACCCCCAGACCCGGTTGCCACGAACACTCAGGCAGACCATGGCACAAGCCCCCACACCAGGTGTGGCAGGGGGAGGGGGGACAGAGATCTATATCATCAAGAGAAGTTCCAGGAGAGGGGAGGACCCAAAGGCCCCACCTGACATATACAGTCATACACAAACACAGTCACACACTCCCTCCCTCATGCTCACACATGCACATACAACCCAAGACTTACAAAAATGCACGCCGGACACTCACTCATGCTCCCCATACACACCCTATTAACTCTGGTCCCGGTACTGCTGCACATGGGGTACAACCATCACCGGTAACCAGAGTTTGACCCTTTCTGCTGGGGTGCTGATGAGCAGGCTCCCCCGCCCAACGCTGAGCACAGCAACCCACCACCCCAGACCCCAACCAGATGGCAAGATCTCCCTCCTAGCCTCCAGCCCCAGGAAGCCTAGCAACAACAGAGGTGGCAAAGACCCCTGGTCTCCCTCCACCTGCTCCAATATAGTGTTCTGTGATCATGAGGTGTATTCCATGGCTGTGGTGAGTGGGCAGTGCGGGCATCATCCGGCATATGCCAGCTGATGCCACCGCACCACCCCACTTACACCCTCAGCTATCAGTGTCTAAGTGCGGTTTAAAATTGGAAGTGGGCACCGGCACTCGGGAGGAGGCTGAAATATCCCCCTGCCAAATGCCGTTGAATGTGCTCACTCCCAAGGCCCTAAGTGTGTGTTTGTGTGGAATGTCGTCAGTGGAAGTGTATAAGGTGCAAATAAAATTGGGGGGCAGGTTGCCACAGGAATGCGGAAATGGGGTCCATACCCGCACTCCCTGACTTGCCCACCCCCCAAGGTCCTATGTGTATGTTTGTGTGATGATGTGAGGGAGCAGGAGGAGAGAAATATGCGGGGATGGGGAGGAATGGCTGGTTGGGCTTAGCCCTCCAGGGAGCCAGCTCCCCTACTGGCCCCAATAGGCACCTCTGTTGTCAAAATGCCACCCAGGGCATGGAGACCCCAGCCCATCCTGCCAGGGCCCAAAGCAGCAGCATTACAGAGCCTCACGGAGTCCGAGGGCACCAACCCAGCCCCATCCCAGCAGAATATCTATGCCCACCCCTGCATTTGCACAACTTCCAGAATATATAAGACATGGGACATCCAGGTAAGGTTTGGTCCTCCCCGTCCTGGACCTTCCCCTCCCCTGTGATGGAACGGCAGAGGAGCCAAGGTCTACCTGATGCCCCCGAACCCGGGCCAGGCACAGCTGAGTGTTCCTGCCTTCTTCCCGGCAGCATACATGTCAGGACCCGACCCCCAAGGCCCCGCCCAGATCCCCACACGGGGCCGGCCACCCCCAAACCCCGAGCCCCCAGGCCCCCACCCAGACCCGCCCAGGGGTATTGCAGCCGCCAGGCAGTGACCCATGGTCGCCGCCAAGATCCCCAAGGGGCCCCACTCACAACCGCCAGCAGTCCACCCCCCGAGGCAACCAAAGCACCTCCAGAGGGGGGCAACAGCCCCCCAGTCCCAGACACCCCCAGTGAACCCACCTCCAGGGAACATCCGGATACTCCAAACTCAGACCCCACATCCCCCCACCCACACCATCCCGCAGGACAACATCAATGGCCCCCCACCCTCGCT